GACGATGTAGTCGCTAATATCACTTTTCAAATCATAGGGTACAAGGAAACACTTGTCCAAGTTGGGCCGGGCATGGTCACTCAGGCCATGGCGGAATGTAAGGTGTGTGAAGGCTCCGGGAGCTTCTTTCAGCCGAAGGACAAATGCAAGAAATGCAAGGGGAAACAAGTCACAGAAGAGCGCAAGCTGCTCGAAATATATATTCCTCGTGGCGCGAAGTACGTTTTGACTCTTGCCCTTCGTCTCCGCACCATTAAAACCCTTGTTTACTAACAAAATTTTGCAGACAAGGTGACAAGATCGTATTAGAGGGAGAGGGAGACCAATTTCCAAACACAGAACCAGGAGATATTATATTCCACTTGGAGGAAATCGAGCACGAAACGTTCCGACGAGCCGGTGCGGATCTAATGGCCGAGATTCAAATCACGCTAGCTGAGGCGCTTTGCGGCTTTTCCCGCGTAGTGCTGAAGCACCTCGATGGAAGAGGGATCGAAATCACCCATCCTAAAACAGAAGGCGCTGTTTTGAGACCTAATCAAGTCCTCAAAGTCCCAGGGGAGGGCATGCCTTTTAAAAAGACTGATTCGAGAGGCGATTTGTATTTGGCCGTCCAAATCAAGTTCCCAGAGGATGGGTGGGCTTCAGACCCCGCAGCCCTTGCAAAGCTGCGCGATATTCTTCCCGGACCAGGCCCTGCCATCCAGGCTGAGACAGTAGATGATGTCGAGTATGATCCAAAAGCGAACCCTGAGGAGTTCGGATCCAAAGATAGCCAGGGAGGTGCAGCCTGGGAGGATGAAGATGAAGAGGAGGGAGGACAGGCACAGTGTACGACACAGTAAAGGCACGCCTTGTCTTTACCAGTCTAATCAGCTCCGGAATCGCATATCATATTTCTTGCTTTCATTTGTTATAAAAAAATCTTTGGTCGCTGGATATCGCTAGAAGTTTCTACCGAACGCCAGCATAACCTATACCCAGTGTAGTGTTGGAAGCTTGATATTCCAAAATACCCGGTTTTCTTTTCGTCTCGTGCTTATTTCTTTCCCTTGCTTCGGCTACGATAACCCCGGCCCACCACAACGACACGTTGGATTGTGTGCCTCTCTATACAGGAAGACAAGAAAGTTGGTTTCCAGCCTCTCGAGATAAGGGACAGTGTGTGATGTTATAACGACTCATTTTGTTATGATGATGACGAACGATTGTCTTTACCGCTATGACCCAAATCTGACTCATCCGTTTACATACATGTTTTTTTACTACTATAGATAGAAGGATATTATTACGTTAACATCGAGTTGACTGACTTTCTTGCGAAGCTGGCAGGCAATGGCATTTCCGTAGACGAGGCATTTGCACCCGTCTCGTTTTGTTTTTGTTTGGACATCAGAATTAGATTATGGACGATAGTGTGAATAGATAAGATACCTTTGCGTTTCAAATCCGGGGAATTAGGTGTTAGTTATTGTGATAAAGCTAAACGGAAACAATTTATCCAAAGGGCCTTGCATGGTCGCAAGGCCGATGGGTGGCTTTAAATTGTAGATGACTGCCGCAACAAAGGCAGATAGATATACATAGACAGGAGTATTAAATGTCGTTGATATCGCTAACTTCAATTGATTTACATGTAGCCATTTTTGGTATCAATATGATATTACATTACCATACGCCAAAACTTCTATATCCCACTTTCAGCCCAGGGGTATAATTACATCAAACCACACAGCGCTTCACTTGGCCAAGCCATCAGAGCTTTGATGATCCTGCCACATCATTTATCATCAACTTCTCCAGGCCGCTTCGAATCCTTCCATCCATTCCTTTCCTAGACGCTCTACCTCCACCTCCGCCCCCGGTCTTCACTTCAGGCTCCTTCTCAACAAACACGTGCGTAAATCCACCGACAGCTTTAACAGTCTCTTCCCCGCGGCGGAAAATGCCAACTTCATACATCGCGCTTGAACTGCCAAGTTTGATAACGCGCAGGCCTAGGTCTAGGACATCTGGAAACGAAACGGAAGCAAAATAGTCACAATATGAGGAGACGACGAGGCCGATTTGGGAAGGTCGGGCTGCAGGAGTGGAACTTGAGGTGCTGGAGGATGAGGGGCGAGGAGGAGTAGAAGAGCGAGTAGAGAAAGGATCCAGCCCACAGTGGTTTATTAGATAGGTATTTACAATAGAGTCGATGAGAAAGGCGTATATGCTATTGTTTAGGTGGGCGTACATATCGTTGTCGGACCTAACATTCAAAATAATTAGTATGCAGTAGTAGTGTAGGATCGTGTGGGGTTTGTTTTTATCTGCTTATCTCCTCCCCTAATCCCAATCAAAACGCAATTGAATTTCTCTGAGTTGATAACGGGCAGAATTAAGATAACTAGTTATATGGAGATGTACTCACCATCTTGTTCGATATTCTAAGTGGAATAAATACTCCTTTCTCGTTCGGCGCTTCTTGAGTTCTAGCTCCGTCGGGGCCATTGTTACGGCTCCTCTTCACGAAAAGATAGTTTATGATTTCGACAGCGAAGTACAATGAAATGATACGAATCCATGGAGTATCGAATGCTGTATAAACTGAGCGCTATCAAACGGGAATTTGGCGTTGTCTCGCCTCGGTTGTTCTGTGGTTGATAGATAAGATAAGATTGATCGACGCGAAGATCACATGATAACCTTATTTTGACAATTAACTCGGAAGTATATTTCTCCGTTGTATTTTCTGATGCTTTTGTCTATGGTTCATTCTCCTTTCTCATTGCACCATACTGAATACATCCCAGCTGGCTCGTTCACACGTTTATTCGTTACCTTGTCTCAATTGCTTCCTCTCCTCTACTTTTCTTTCATATTCCCAACGAAATACCTTCAACTTCCGTGGCGCCCTATCCGCGCGCTCTGGGCTGCCTGGCTCGGCGGGGTCGATATCCTACGACTACCAGTATGGCCCTGACAACTGTTGATCACCCATCTCCTGTGGAAAAGAAGGAAGAATTCGAACCACCTCCGGATGTGGTGGTGACACCCTGTGATCCTTTACCTAGGCCTTACTACATCGAAGGAGGCTTGCGCAGAGTTGCCCCATACCACTACACGTATAATACATTTTGTAAAGAAAGGTGGCGGGGTCGAGGACTGTTAGATGTCTTTGGAGCAGAGTTTAGAGATAGGCCGAGGGAGTATTATGTATGTTGACAAGTGCGACTCAAATCTTGTTGGGGTCTTGTTTAAACGACCCTTCACTTCAGAAATACCGCAAATCGTACTAACTTGCAATCTTCAGCAAAAAGCCATTGAAGACGGGGCTGTATGCATAAACGGGAAGGCCGTTTCAATAGATACGAAGATCCAAAATGGGGACGTCATTTCGCACACACTCCACAGACACGAGCCGCCTGTCACCAGTCAACCGATCGGCATAATCCACGAGGACAATGACATGATTGTGATCGATAAACCGGCGGGCGTTCCTGTACACCCTGCGGGGAGATACAATTATAATTCAGTTCTCGAGATAATGAAGGCGGAGCGTGGAAATGGTTGGGTTCCGTATCCCTGCAATCGTCTGGATAGGTTGACCTCGGGGGTGATGTTTATCGGCAAACACCCCAAGGGTGCAGAACAGATTGGCGAAAAGCTCCGATCGCGCACTGTGCGCAAGGAATATGTGGCACGCGTGAAAGGGAAGTTCCCGGATGGCGTTGTGTTGTGTGATCAACCTATGTTGAAAATCAGTCCGATTCTGGGCTTAAACCGTGCAAGAGCTTCAGGAAAGGAAGCGAGAACAAAATTCCGGAGAATTGCATATTATCCGCCGCATAAGCAAGCAGAGAAAACCTCGGGTTCGTCAACCGGACCGGCAACGCCTCCCGCAACACTACCAGATCAAATGAACATCAGCGATTCGCCGACCGATACCCCCACAGGAGCAACCACCCCTATTCCTATGAGCTTAGACGAAGAGGGCTATAGTATCGTTCACTGCCTGCCACTGACTGGCCGCACCCACCAGCTTCGCGTCCACCTTCAATACCTAGGCCATCCAATAACCAATGACCCAATTTATTCCAACCGGCGAGTCTTTGGCCACAGCCTTGGAAAGGCAGACGCAACGGGAGAAAACGACGAGCAGATAATATACCGGCTGTCCAAAATGGGTAAAACCGAACCCGCCGACTCACTCAGTTACCAAACATTCCAAACACCACCTCCTGAATCAGTCTCCAAGAACGACCCTGCCGTTGTGGATGAGCTGTTAGCCAAGGAACATGAAGTTATGGTTAATGACTATTTGAAACGCAAGGGGGAGAAGATGAACGGGAAGCAATGCGAGATATGCGGAACGGATTTATACACCGATCCCGGTGTACATGAACTGGGAATTTTCCTGCATGCGGTGTCATATGCGGATGTCACTGGTGCATGGAAGTATAAGAGTAAAATGCCTGGCTGGGCACTGCCCCCCGAGGGCATGGAGGGTCCTACCACTGTACCAGATTGGGTGGATGATGAGGAAGAGGAAGTTGTTGGGAAAGGGCAGCATGGGGATTCGGCATTGGTTGAGGGGTTAGGCGCTGTGAACGTGACTGAGCTGATCGATAAGAATATGAAGGAGCAGCAGATGAAGGAGAATGGAGGTGATATTGATATTGCTACTACTAGAGCCGAAACAAGTGCTGCTGTTTCGTAAGGGGATATCGTGAGATGGATCAATAGGCTGTGGCTAGTTGGATTACGACTATTTCAGATACCATGCCCACTATATAAAAATGCGCATATCTATCAAAATATTTTTCTCCAGTGTTGGCATCCTAATACTTTCCTCCTCCAGCACAGCACGTGCAAGAGCGGTAATACTGGTACTTCGCGAATGGTGGTGATCTCCGCCTTCAACTTCTCCATCTTCTTCATTTCCATGCTGTTCATCCTGCGTCCGGGCCTACCCCATGCCGGAGAACACAATTTTTATGCTCAATTGCCAGATGGAGTTAGGTAGAGGATTCCTCCTCCGGTTCCACTTTGGACTCCCGCTCGATATATGTTGTCGGGCGTCGATAATGGACCTGCTGGTCAGGTTCCCACCGTCCTAGTGCTGTGAAATTTTCAATATGGAATGTTTCTCAGTAACGATACCTGAGAGGTATAGAATATTTTTAACACGCAATAAGATCATAAAATCTATGTCTAATGGTAATTTTCACTCCGCTATTCCCAAATTTCCTCCAATATGCGGAGAAGCCCATCAATATCCAAAGCAGAAACAATAACAATAACAACAACAATAATCTAGTTCACAGGGTATAGAATGGGACCATGTGAACGCGCTCTCTACCGTTACGACATAACAACCTGCCCAACTTGAAAGGCTTCCTTGCTTAACATTTTCATATCTGAGATTGTGCCGAGCCAGTCTATATTCTTTAGCCTTCCTATCAACCCCTTCATCCGTCAGTTTAGGCAATGCCTTTGCGACCTTGACGTAATTCATCTTCTCGACATATCCCTTGGCGAAGATGTGGTTGATTTCCTCCAAGCTCCGACCTGCAGTTTCTGGGTAAAAGAACCAGATGAATGGTATGAGAATAGCGTTCCATGCACTGAAGAAGGGATATGCCCGCCATCCGATACGGACCACCATGACTGGCGTCATCATGACGACTATAAAATTGAAAAGCCAGTTATTGCAGGTGGAAATGACGTTGGATTTGGCTCGTGTCCGGGCAAAAGTTCGGCAGGGTATAACCAAGGGAGAGGCAGCCAAGTTGCACCAAAGAAACACATGTACATGAAGAAGCCAAATATTGCGCCCTTGGCGGTTTGGTCATCTCCGGGGATAAGACATGCGAATACGATGACCATGGCAGCGCATAGACCGAAACTCCCTGCAAGAAAGAGCTTGCGACGCCCTATTTTCTCAATGAAGAACCATGAGAACGTCGCAAAAAAAAAAATGGAATAGACAATCATATTAACGCCACCGATCAACAATGCAAAGTCATGCGACTGGTTGAGGGACTCTTCTCACAATGCTGGAAGATAGTAAATGACGGCGTTACATCGGAACCCACAACCATGCGACAGAAGTGCTGAGTCCTGCCCTCAATGAGAAGATCTTTGTAACCTGCTTTCGTGGCACCTGGACTAATGTTTTGGTCGGTTTGTGAGTGGAGGCGCAGCAGAGGGGAAAGAGCTTCACTTAGTCTCTATTTAATCGAATAGATGACCAGATTCTTTTGCAGCTAGGTGGCAGGGTCGTCAATCTCTGTGCCCGCAAGGGCAGCAAGTACCCTTTCACCTTCAACCTTGTCCTTGGAGATAAGATAACGGGGTGAGTCGGGAAGATAAAACATGCCGATTATAATGAAAACGCCAACAACGACAAACGACCTGGAATGCAATAAGGAATCTCCAGAGCAAGTCTTAGGGTCCATAACGCGCCCCGAAGTCAATCCAATAGGCAATTGCTGTGCCGATGGGAATGACGCCACACTCAATACAGATCAACAACCCGCGGTTATGGGACTTGGAACATTCAGCCTGGTTGGTGGGGATGGTATATGGGTAATTCCATTTCCAACTCCAGTGACGACACGGCCGATGATAAACTGCACGAGTGGAACCTTGTCTTCGATTGCAGTAACTTGAATAATCACGCCGAGAATCATAATTATCGCACCGGATATGATCATCCAACGACGACCGAGCCGATCGACGATGAAGAGTGCGACAACCGCACCTAGGAGACACCCTATATCCGGTATTAGTTTTGTGATTTCTTCCGTGCAGCTTGAGCGAACTCTTGTGGTACGTACCAACTTCATATACCGTATGCACGGTGGCCTGCAATGTGCTATTGTCCTTGGTGGCGGCATACATATTGTTGAATGCCGGATCCGGGATGCTTGACGCCCTCTGATGGATTGCTGTTAGATAGTGCTCCGCACAGTCAATTTCCAGAATCGACCATATAACATACGGTCATATCCGAATAGCAAAAAAGCCATGGTGGCGACGGTTGAACCTGCTAGGGAAAGCTTCTTCCCGCTCATGCCTGCATACGTCGGCGATACCATGACGAATATACGCCGTTAAAGGAGGCCAGTGCTAGTTAAGACAACTCGAGCTGGGTCAAAGGGAGGGGAGGTAAAATCAAGAAAAGAGAGCTGTGATAATATTAAGGGATTTTTCGTTTGAAAATACGGAAGTGCGGGGAGGGGAAACGACGGGAAAAGAGATAAGGAGATATAGGACAGTACAGCGGGAGACTTTGGATGAAGCCTTGAAGAGACCGATACAGAAGGGAAAAAGAATGGAAGTTGAAACAGGGAACATTGTGCATTTCGGGGATAGATTATATTTGAATAATTTGCTCCACAAGACCAATTCAAGGAATGGATGGAATTGCATCAATGGAGTTATAAGATGGAGCAGATGGCAGCTCTACTGATGTTCCCCTGGAGCGCTCAGAGTTTGCTTCATCCCTCAAAGCCAAAATATGAACCTAGCGGCTCAGGGGCCGGCGGGATCCAAACCTCGCGTATCTTCACCATCCCATGGATGGAAGTAGAACAATGGCATGAAACTACCACCCCTACAGGCGTTGTACCGGGAACATCGGTATACATACACATTGCCGGGACATGACGCAGCGCAGGGCTCCAGATAAGCTTTTCTTAGCGTGCAGGACCCATAAATAGCTTAAATATGGAGACCATGACATCATGATCAGACGACCGAAACTTGAAGGCTTCCGCCAACCCAACCACGTCTTGTATAGTTTTGTAGATCTCTCTCTTTCCCTCGCACAATATCATGTCCCATTGGCCGGGAAATATAGGGACAGTCCCGACCCGAGTGCCCGATGAGTACGAGCGATTATCACTACTACTATGAATATTGGGGTATCTGAAGGGAAAATGACTTTCTCATCCAGGTGGGCACCGTCTTCAATTATTCTATACCTTGGGGAATATCATGTCCTGCAAAAAGGGCCTCTTCCTTTATAAAAAACTTCCCTCCTACGTGCGCCCGCCATTTGACCAAATATGCTTGCCTCCACCGCCGCAGATCCGCATAGAATGTCCGTTATATCAACTGAACAGATATTGCCAAATTATCTAGCCCTTCCGTATCATTTTCTGGGTAACCGTTGAGTGTGGTTAGGGGAAAGAATGGGGCAGGATTGGATTTCAAATTTAATGAATTTGTTGGAATGGATCGGAATATATTTAACATGAGACTCAGAATATAATATGGTGTGTTTTATCAATATATATATATATTTGTACCAAACCACATTTTTAAGTACTCCCATTCTTTTCACCCCCATTTATTCTAACATAAAGAAACAGAAGCTTTTCCGAATAATGATGAAAGCGGGGAGAAAAACTACCCATGCACTAGAGAGCTTTGCATTCCATCCTCCAAAAGTCGCGGGCATGGGATATTTCCTGGCTGGCTAGGAGCTACGTAGCCTCCCGCTGCTAATTTAGAACTGGACGTGTAATCGTCTAACGCATCTAGCAGTTAGTTCTCATGCAATCCTTGTTCTTAATCGTAGGTGTCGCAACGAATACCCATTCCTCAGGCTGGGATTATGAAATTTGCGCGCTCTCGTAGATATGTTTGGTTTAGATGTGTTCATAAGAAATCCAAGGAGAGGGATAATAATGTATAAAAGGGCATTTAAATAAGATACTAGTACTACTGGCAGCAGCACACATTGGAACCGGACCAACCCCCTCCACCAACCCCCCCTGTGAACATTGGAGTGGGATATTATAAATCTAGGGGTCATATTGCCTTAGCAGAATGATGGCCAGTGAATAAACGAAGACCTTGAAAAGTTCTCCGGCGCTCTGCTTTGCGCTGAAATGATCTCAAGAGTCCAAGAGTTCGGTCGGTAAGAAATTATTTGGATGCTATCGTGGGGACCCCTTGTCCGCGTCTCACGCACAAAGGTTGGTGCAGCATGCTGAGAAGTAGGAAAAAGATGTGAACAGGGCCTTCTGAATAATCCTAAGAGTTGTGTTTTGCGAGGAGGAGTTGCTGTGTTCTCTTACACCACTCCTAGTAAAGTTTTGCTAGTAAGTGGTGATTGGTGGGAGACGGCCAACCCGGCAGTTGTACATAGCTACAGCAGGTGTGTGCTAGCTAGAGTGTGAAGTCAACAAGTTGATCTGAAAGACAGCTGGGGATGGGGGTATCTGAGATTGCTTCCTTCCAGTTCCCAATACCCTGGGAGGATACTGATACCCCGTTAACCCTGTGCAATTAGATGCAGACGACAGCTTGGATAAGCGCCAGTGGAGAAGAGTGTGAAGAGGCACTACACAGTAAATCGACGGTGAGTATGACTCGGGACTGTTCAAGAATTTAGGTTTCCCTACACGATGTCGATTGGTCTGGAGAAAACCGTTGTGAACCGCAGAAGTCCAGCGATAAAAATAGCAGGAAAACCACGACAAAAATGAATACGCAGCCGGCAAACACAGGGGGACAAAGTAAAATAACAGTTTTCATTTCCGTTAATTATTTCCTTTTTTGTTGTTTAAATTTTCAAATAAGGATTTTCAACGGCTATTTTATTTATCAAATAATGCTTTCGCCAAATCCCAAGCCTTTCGGACCCCAGACATAAACGTAAAACGGAAAAAGAAAAAGAAAACAAAACATGACTACGACTCAGTGGTGAGTCTGCCCTTGGGGTTGGTGACCTTGACACCGAGTGCCTTGGCCTTGGCGATGATGTCGATTCTCTTTCCTGACGAAACAGCGTGGCCGATCCTGAAAGGAACGGGAGAGTGTTAGTATTAATTCGAGGGTCGATATTGAAAATTCCGATGCAGGTGTTGGGTTTCAACATACTCAGCAGCGTAGGTCCGGTTGTGCATCAACAGAAGCTCGACATCCTTGGGGTTCTGAACGAGGAAGACCTTGTGGCCGGAGGGGGTCATATGTCTGGTTTTCTTGTTGCTTCCATAACCGATCTATGATGTGGTTTTCCAAGTCGCCAATTGTCAGTCGGTGGTTTGATGAACCCAATCTCTCCAACGCTGATGATATCTTTCTTTCATTCTTGCTTTGTCCCTGATTGACCGGAAGGCGATGTTCGCCAGTCTGAGCCGGGGGCGGGCAAATCGTACCTTTGGCATAGCAGCCTGGCCGCTGAACCGTCTGCGGACACGGCTGTCGATACCTTTAGGTTTCCGCCATGACGGGTCGACGCACTTGAAGCGGTCTGACTGGTGGCGGTTGAAGCGCTTCTTGTCTGTATCCCCGGAAATCCTTTAAATCAGCCTTTGTACTCCTTCTACAACACTCCCTCTGTTCAACTGTTTTCCAGCAATTCAATCGTCTCTTCCTCGCACAAGATTCCCCTGCATCCACATCCATTTCCCCCAAACGCAATTCCAACTCCATAACCAACAAACATAGCGATTCCTTAAACGGTCCTGGGAGGAAACTGGGGGGTACATACGCTTCTTCACGATCGGGATATGCTTCTTTGCGGCGACCATCTGTTCAACAATAGCTTGTTAGATGCCATTCCAAACCCCTAGATGGCTTAGAAATTGATGAGGAAACGTACCTTGGCGGTATTATGCGGTCCCGAAGCTGGTCGTGGGCGGGTGTCGTCGAAGGGTGATTGCGATCGATGGCGGACGTTTTCAACGACGTTCTTCTCTGGATTTTCCAGCCAGAGTGGAATTCCGGCGCTAGTTGGCTCGCTAAGCGAGACTTGGGAACTAGGGTTTTTATCTCCCGAACCCTGATTTCCTCTTTGGGAAAATATCACGTGATATATACCAGATTCGGCTATCGACAGTTTCGATCAACCATGTTCAACCAACCAGTCTTCAACACGACGGCTGGGTGCGATATCTGCATTGGATAAATGCTCTTATGTAGCGCTAGGGGATTCAAATTCATCAATCAGCCACTGATGAAGCACGAAAATGGCAGTGTCAGTCGCGAGAAGTGCAGCCATGAGATCCTCGATCATGTGCCCAGAATCCTCACCCAACAGGTCACAGTCAATATGCTCCTGGCCTCTTCCGTATTCTATTTATATGGACAATATCGCAGCTGGTACATCCAGCAGTTGTGATCTTGTACCATCTGTCATTTGAGAGACGATATGACGATATGACGATTAGAAAAAACCACCTTTCTCGCCCACAACTAATGACCTGATGCCTCCAGTTACCAGCGAAACTAGTCATCGGTGGTAACTGCCATACAAACAACCAGGTAGCCGTGCGCTTGAACCTTGGAAGCAACACGCTTAAACACATGATGTTGGTCATGTGCTTGGATATAATAGTGGAATACCTATTCTCCTATTGCTATAAAAGAGCAGTCTACCTCGTTTGTTTATCCGTGCGTATTGACCAATGTTTCATGCTTAAAGGGAATGCTGGATCTAAAAATGCTGAACAAGAGATTTCTACCTTTGTCTAAAGACTTTCGCCTGCGCAACTATTATACTAGAAAAGCCGACCTGGTTGATTTATCACCGCTGTCTGCCATTTTATACAAGGGGGCTATGGAGGATCTTTCAAAGGAGATATTCGACGCAATCAGGTAAAGGCTGTCGTTTATGAGGGGGCCGTTATATACTTCACAGGCTCCAACCCAATCACCATAAAAGTCTCCTTGCCTTGCTCAAAGATGGATCAAGCTAATACACCCCAACAGGGACCATCACACCTCGTTTGGCAGCCTGGTTGCCAAGCGCGTCCCGCTATGCCTTCCCCCCCGCACTGATACGCCAGCGCTCTACGCGTTTGGAATATCCCGTTTTGCAGAAATATACTTCGCCTTTGAAGAAGCCTGGCTTTCTCAGTTATCTCAGTTACCATCCGTCAGCAGCACCAGCAGCCCAGATGAATATGAGATTCTGGATTCGTTCGTAAATGACGACAGAGGCAGAATCAGAAGCATCTTGAGCCAGTTATATATCCCCGAGCTGCTACGCAGCGAGAAGTTGCGATCGGATTTGCGTGCATTGGGTTGGTCGTCCGGTACGGAGGATTCAGGCCAGGATACCCCTAGGGACAACTATTCATCG